AAGAATGAATACCTGACCCTCTCAAAGGAGAGGTATTTATAGTCCCCAACACTAGGCCAAGGTCTCAAATGTTGGGCCACGATGAGGCTCAACAATGAAGACTGCCAAGGCTTACGTGTGTATGGAGTCGAACATGTAGACTCCCCCTGATCAACTGCCACGAGAGAATAGGTGTTGGACCCGTGATTTTCGGAGGGCAGTTATGATGACAGTGACACGGACACGTGGGCCACGTTCCCCAACAGACGCGTGGAGAGTTGCCCAATGATCTGAGCTTGAGTTGCTTGTCTTTGAGCCTTATGCAAGGCAGTTATTATTATTTTTTTATTTTAATTTTTAATATTTTTAATTATTAAAGAAAAATAGATTTTAGAATTACTGTTAGTCAGAATATATTATCCAACAAATTATTAATAATATTGTTTATAGGTGCTGATTTAATTCTAAGTTTATTGGTCATGTTGCTAGCCTTGTGATGCAATTGGTCTTTGGTTTTGTTTAGTTTGTTCGAGAACTAGATCGTTTGCATTATACTTTGTTCAGAAAAGAAAAAAAAATAGATTTTATAAAATATTTAAGAACGATAATAGTTTTATAATTAGAAAAGCTTCCATGTTAGCAGAATTTCTAGAAAAAGAATAGTTTTAGAAAATACCAACTTTTTTCTTAACAATAATACACACCATGTACCTCATTATAAAAAGTAAATTTCATTTTTATTTTTGTTAAATTTTAGTTTTGATTTTTCTATTTTTTTTCTGGATTAGATCTGTATTTGGCCAAACTTTATACGAGGCCTAATCTAACTATGCTGTTCGAGTAGATTTGTTGATCGAATCTGACCTCAACTATGTCGGACAGTAACCTCACTCTTCGTGAAAATGTGACTTCGCCGTACGAGGATAAGTCCAGGAATCACGAGGAGGCTCGTCGCCGGTCAGGAGGACCTCCCGAGCATCCTCCACTCTTCTCGTCGACCACGACAAACCCTCCCAGACGACCTCACAACTGGCGGGGAGAACCCACGACGACACCGCGAACCCCCTCCTCGTAGGGTTGACTCGCCACACTCCCAAATATCACAGAGTCTTCTTGGTCCCGAAAAGACCGCGTCCATATTCTCCTAACTATTCAGAGGAATTCATCCGGGTTGGGGACCACGTGCTGACCCCATTATGCACATAGAACCTGACAGTCTCTGTTTTGGACCTGCTTGTCCAGTCCAACGATGGAGACCTTGGTCCAACGCTGAGGACTATAAATACCCTCTTTCTTGAGAGGGTTAGATATTCATTCTTTCATACTCACTCTCATACTTGCTCGCACTGCTCTGAACCTTACTTTGGTATCAGAGTGTCTTATAGATACTCCCAACTCACTTCCAGTTGCTGCTCAACTCACCGCTCGTAGGCCTTGACGATCCACTCTGGTCCGGTACGATCAATTTTTAAATTTGGTTTATCTATTTTAAAATTTTAATAATTTTTGTCTCTTTATTTTAAATTCAAACAATTTTAATTTCCCTCTCATATTTTTCATAATAAAAAATCGATGTTATTTTTATTTTTTAACTTATATTTTTATCTTCCAATTTTAATAATAGATTTATATTCTATGATTTATCATCTTTTACAAATAATTTTTTATTTAAAAAATAAAAATATCGTTAATTTTAAATATATAAATATGAGAGGATGATCAAAACTGTTTAAATTTAAAATATAATGTCAAAACTGTTTAAATTTTAAAAAGAAGGATCAATTTCAGGAATCAAACAAAATAGAAAAATCAAAATTATAATTAAATTTTTTTATTTTATTTATTCAACAATTAATGTATATTAATTATATATAGGCTAGATACATCACTTATTAAATGAAACAAAAAAATTATATTTTATTTATAATAGTGATCGAAGAATTTATATATTTTTAATAAAATGAAATAATGATTATTTTTTGAGTAGTTAAAGTTTTAAAATAAATATAATAAAAAAATGTTAGCTATAAATAATGGTCAAACGCAAATGTTTTGTTTAATTAGTGTTGTGCAGAAGTGATAAAATTGGGAATTTTAGAAAAAAATATTGATAAGAGTAATGGCAACGAGTGAAATTAGAAAATGTATTGTGATTATGTTGATAATAATGATGTTGAAAATCCAAGTTGAATGCATTACTCAACCTCCAGATTTTAAGTCAAGCAAGCGCTCAGTAATTGCATGTAAGCTTGGGTGTTTCTTTAAGTGCCAATATGAAGGTCTTTTTCAAGATTGCTTTGGACCATGTATTCATGATTGCGAACACAATCACTATTATGATGCTGCTTCACATAAGTAATGTTTTATGGTGCTTGTGGGACTTATAAACATTTCTTAACGATCCAAGTGTTATAATAATTAATAAATAATTCATATGTTTTATGTATTGATAAATATTGACATTTTGTCAAAATTAAATAAATATATCTTACACCAGGATGTCTATTTTTTATTTTTGAAACAAATTTTTGCATGTATTTTTAATATTTTTGTTTATTTTCTATGATCACTGATTCTATGCAAAAACCATTTGTGCTGGACTTTGAGTTATTTGATATATATTAAACTCATAGAAACTGTTAAATAAATCTTAAATGTCTAAGTTGATCTTTAATATCGATTATCTAATAAATAAATAAAAGACTCATTTCTAAAATGTAATTGTTTATTGACTTTTCTTTTTACGAATTCTTTAGTTAAGTTTACTAGAGTAAGTTAATAAAGCGGCTCGTATTTTAGTACGGATTATTCTATCTTTAGTTAGTTTTCACACTTTTACTAATATTTTAATTTGTATTCTGAATATTATTATTAATGAAATTAATTGATCTTTTTCTGTCAAAAAAATATATAAAAAAAACTTATTTCTAGATAAAGCAATAAATGTGTACCGACCAAAAAAATATAAATATTATAAACCTTGTGGTTCCATGTTTGATTAAAGAGAAATAATATTTTAACACTCATTTTAATATTACATCTTAGGTGTTTATAAATGCGATGAATAATGAAATACACAATTTTGACTTTTTGTTTTATTTTTTTATTTTTCCAAAATAATTTTGGTTAATAGTGTGTAAACACTTGGTTAATGCAGTTTGTAGTTTGGTTAATAAGTATATCTTAACATTAAAATGTAATTTTGAGAAAATAAAATTGATTAATTGAATGTTATAATTTAATTAATATAATTTATAATTTGAGTATTGAGTATTCTGACATTAAAAAAATAATCTTATGTGATAAATTTTTTTGATTAAAATATATATATATATATATATATATATATATATATATATATATATATATATATATATATATATATATATATATATATATATATATATATATATATATATATATATATATATATATATATATATATATATATATATATATATATATATATATATATATATATATATATATATATATATATATATATATATATATATATATATATATATATATATATATATATATATATATATATATATATATATATATATATATATATATATATATATATATATATATATATATATATATATATAAAATTGATTAATCGAGAATAAAGATTGATTATTATGTTTATAAATTAGTATTAATATATGATTAATAAAATAGTAAAATTAATTAATAAATTATAAATAAAATAAATAGTTAATAACGTTTATGTTTGTGGTTAATTCAATGATGAAGTTGGTTAATGACATAATCTTATATTTATGTTATAAAATAAATTTAAAACATAAATATTTTATTTAAAAATAATATATTTTTAAAATAATAATATTTTTATTAAGAAAACATGATTCATCATGAACAGTGTTTTGGTGTATGTATTTGGTGTAAATATAAGTGTCAAGATAGCATTACTGTTGATTAAAATACATAACTTAATTAATTTTGTGGGAATAATTTAATATTAAATATTTAAATATATATATTAAAGGTTAATAATTAAATTAAATATTTATTCATAGAACGTATTTTAGTCATGTTCATGTGAATATAATATGTCTAAATTATAATATATAATTTAGTATTGTATATTATTTTAATTTTGATATCCCTTTTTAATTATCTCTCTTTGAAAATATTTAATTGATTTTTAAAAAATTGGGAATCACATATTTTTGTCAGTGTCAATTATCTTATATTTTGTTTAAAATTTATTACTCAATTTATTATTGTGTTGATTTTTCAAATTTCAATATTGATTTAGAAGATTACAATAAACGGTTAGATTTTATTTTCTGTATTAGTCAAAGTATTTGATTTCTTTGGATTAAATTGGCATTAACTATTTAAATATATAATCAAAGTGAACTATTTCAGCAAATATATATTCAAAACAAAAATTCGAATTTACTTATATTGTTTACAAATATTTTATTCAATTAAGTATTAAGTTTTTTTTAAATTTTTAGTCTTTCACTTTAATAATTAGTTTTTTTATCTTTGAATTTTACTTTTCTTAGAATTTTCATTGTCCCCTTTTATATTTGCACACTTGGCAATCTCATTAATTACGCAACAAGGTTATTATAGATTCATGTCACATTTGTTAAATATTTTAATAATATTTATTTATGTTTTATTTTATAAAACATTTTTAATTGACGTAAAACATTTTAATTAAATTTTAAATAATATAATCATCTAAATATAATTTCACTTTGTTTTCTGTCCCTGATACCAAACACGAAAATCTCTAACTCGAATTTTGAAGATTGGTTCAAACATTAAACCAAAAAGCGTTTGAAATGAAGACTCATAGTTGTAGTATTTGGTATCCGAGATTCGCGATAACGAGTAGTGACAAGTGAAGTTCCGATTTAAGGTATATTTTCTTGTCCCAATTGGAGTGTCACCATATTCCACTTGTTTTCTTTTGTTTGTTTCATGTTTTAGTTGTGGTTCATTGTCCTTTTCATATGAAATTGTCGTCCAACTGAATGTTATCTTATTCCGTATTTATTCTATTAATTCTCACGCCAAGCCATACTAATAAGGTTAGGTTGAGAATACACCATACAAGGAGATTAATTTCTAAACTTGTTAAGTGGTATGCTAATGAAGAGGTTGATGGAGAGGTAACTGAGATGAATTGGTAGCGGGATGAGGATTTCATGTCATACATGGATGTGGAAAGATTGATTAAAAGTGCGGGATATGTAGGACATAAATTGTATGTGGTATTGGAACCATGTATTCAACTTTTCACATGGTCTCGGCCATTGAGTAATGATACGGATGTGATGCAGTTTACCAAAGTGTTGTAGGACACGAGGTGAAATATGTATATGTGAGCACAAAGTATCTGACCCCCCTGCGATTGTGGATCCAAGTGAATTAGATAACTACATTAATGATGATGATGTCCAATATACTGGTTTTATCGGGCCTAATGTTGAAGTGAATGATCCTAATATTGAAGTGAATGAGCCTAATGTTGATTTGAATGATGAAGAAGTTGAAGTTAATGAGCCTAATATTGAAGTGAATAATGAATAAGCTGAAGTTAGTGAGCCTAATGATGAAGTTAATAATGAATGATTTGAAGTGAATGAGCCTACTATTGATTTGAATGATGAACATGTTGAAGTGAATGATGAGGATTATGTTAAAAGTGAGTATAGTGAAGATAATAAAGTTAATTGGGCCACTGAAGATTTTGAGGAGATGTCCATGACCAAAGTATAACCCCCTAAGACTTTAGGCGGGTTTCTATTGGAAGAAAAAGGCTGACTAATATGCAACATGAAGAATGTGAGTATTTTGATCATTTATACACACCTTTTGAGAGTGATGATGATGAAGACATAGTTAAGTTTCCAACTTTTAAGAGTGGTGAGGAAAGTCATTTTCATTTTGGAATGATGTTTACAAAGAAGGAGATGGTAAGATATGCTATCAAAGAATATGGAAAGGAAAATCATAAAAACTTGTTCATTAAGAATAATGATTCCAAAAGGATGATAATTATGTGTATGACTTATTATAAGTTCTACTTATGGATTAGAAAAGGAATGAGCAATAATATTGACAAATTGTCAGTTATGTTGATGATCACACACGCTACATAACTGCACATAATAGGAATGTTAAGACTATGTGGCTTGCTAAAAAATTTGCAAATGTCTTAAGGCATAGTCCTTATATTAAGCCAACAGGTCTCATAGCCGAATCCCTTAAGAGTTTGTGAATGAAGATATCACAAGATCAAGAATACAAGGTAAAAAGGAAGGCTGTGAATTTGATTTAAGGTGCTAGTTTTGATCAATTTTATAATTTGAGAGGTTATGTAAAAGAGTTATTGAAATCTAATCCTAAGAGTACTTTGTTTATACAATATGCTGAAAGCAATGAAAGTCATGTCTTTGAAAGGATATATATATTTTTAGAATCTTGAAAGGAAGAATTTGCCAAGATATGTATGCTACTTATTGACTTTGATGCTTGCTTTTTGAAGGGAGAATATGATGGGCAATTAATGGCAGAAGTAGGCAGGGATGGTAACAACCAAATCCTTCCAAGTGCATGGAAGGACATTATGGAGACCCCTTCACAAATTTGGACCATATCATACTTACAGACATATATAGTGTGATATGCAAGTAAGCAACATGTGTGAGGCTTTTAATAGGTCCATATGGGAGCATAGAGACAAACCTATAATCACTTTGTTGGAGGGGATTACACATTACATAACAGAGGATAAAAATATAAGGAGTTGTTGTAATAGTATGATGGAGGTATTTTTCCTAGAATCTAGATAGTCATTGACACCAACGATTTCAGCGTCCGGGCATCCTAGGCAACTGCCCAGGCTCTAGTCCAATTACTTTTTTGAAACTAAAGTAAAAAAGGTACATTTAAGGTAAAAAAAAGGGTAAATTGTAGGTATAAAAATTGCACTCGAAATCAAAACGAAGAAAACAAGGGGGAAGAATGAAGAAAACATAGACAATGACGTTGAACTTTAGAATACGACCACACCCTTGTCGCCGAGAATTTCTCTGTAGAAACACCACAGGCACGTCATCGAAACACCCTCTCTTCCAATTAACAGCTCCGTGTTGGAAGCGGTATAGCGGAAGGCAACAAAAGTTTTGGAAATATTTATCCAGGAATTTATCGTGTCCACAGAGATTGGTTATTGAATTGTCGTTCGACAAATCTCTCGTTAATGAGTTTGGGGATAAATGAGTTTGTAAAGAAAATGTTATCAACAGAAAATAAATGTAAACAAAAGTAAAAACTAAGGAAGAAATTATAAAGCCTGCATATAATCTACTCATCACATACTTAAATCTATCGACCAGTTACATTCAACCTAACAATACTCATCAATGTCACTACGTATCACTCATAACCTAAGTCATTTCTAACTCAAATTGAGAGACCGACTGTATCACCAAGGAAATAATCTCTCTACCTCCTCAATAACACATAAGACAACTATGTAATCGCACTGACGATCTCTCAGTACAATATTACCACCCAGAGACATTAAGCTCTGATACCCAAGTAGATGTCAGCTCTAAATCTATCTCTAGATTTCACAAACTAACAGATAATCATCCTAGATAAGAATTTAATCAGTATATGTCTATAACAACTCAAATCCCTATCACATAGCAAAAATCTAAGATAATAATCGACAAAGATTTGTAAAGCAAGTTTAATATAACGCCATGAGCGGCAAATATACATGAGTTTAAAGTAATTACATATACAAACTCAACACATAAAGAATACATAAAGAAGAAGATAAATGAACCACAAATCTACCGGTTTGTCAGCGCCGATTGAAGAGAAATCCACCCCGGGTCATCCGTATGCAAGCTTTAATGTTATTTTCTAAGCTCTAACTATCAAAAAATGAAGGATGCTGCAGTTGGGGTCAACAATACCCAAAACCATACCCAAACAATGTGTTTTTACCCCTAAATACGCATTTCTGACTGTCCTGCATCACCCGACGACCAAAACTGCATTTTTTCCACGCTTCAGATCGCTCCAGAATTGCCTGGCAACCAAAAAGCTTCGCCCGACGACAGATGACAGAAAGTTGAAAAACCAACATAGATTTAGCCATAAGTTTTGAATCGTAACTCCGATTCGCGCATGGTCAGAAGCATTGGAAAACTAATTCAATGCTCTATCTAAAAGTCCTAAATACCAATGCTTGAATACCTACAAAAATGAGATAAAATCAATTAAAATCAATGATATTTACACAATAACACAATAAATACACTATAACATAAACTATACCGAATATATACTAAAGTTGAGGTTTATTGACAAAAATCAAACAAATTAAGCCAATAATTATTTACACTCAAATTCACAACAATCTAGTACTCATCAAACTCTCCCCAAATTAAAACATTATTTATCCTCAAACAAATTCAAATAAACTTAAAGAAGCAAAAGATGATCATCAAAGAATCACGAATCAACAGGTTTTGAAAACATAAAACAAATGCAATGGTTCAAATGAAAAAAATACACACAAAGTAAACACTTACCACTAAACTACGACTATAACATAAACACGAAACAAATGCTAAATACAAAAATTATGCCAAACATTCTAAAAAAAATACTAGTTCACAAATGAATCACACGTAGCAAATACAATCATCGGTAGATAAAAAACACACAAAAATGAGGTATTTTCACTCATCCAACAATCTTGCAAAAAATAGACTAAATTATGCATTCATCCAAAAATTTACATTGAAAATATAAAAGCAAGAATCTCAAGGGCTTTTCAAGGTTGTAATTTGTCTTGGTTAACAAACAAGTGATAAGTCCTAAAGTTAATTGAAACAAAAAGTTGCCTAAACCTAATGGAGTATTTACTTCCACAAAGTTTCAAACAATAGAATTTCAATCAAACTTCTTCTTCATCCCAAATTTTAAACCATCACACATCACTTATTCAACACAACATTATTCCATACCTTTTTGTTTTTCTTTTTCAAAGCTTTTCTATTTTTTCCTTTCTTTTTCTATCACTTTTTTTTTTCATTTCTTTTCTTTTTTTTTCTTTTTCTTTTCGACCTCATATCAATCAACCAATAAACACACAATCATTTTTCTCCCTAGCTTGAATTCAACCATACATTAAAGTGAATAATCCCTACTTTCTAAGGCAAGGTAAAAATTCAAACCAAAACAATGGTTGAGGGTTCAAGAAAATAATGAATCAACATCCATGCAAAAAGGGAAACTAAACACCCATAGACCAGCATTTAGTAAATACAACATAGATATCGACAAAAATCTCAAAGGGGTTACTAATGATCACACACTCACAAGGTGAATTGACTTATTTGGCCAAGGTAGTTATGCTCAAAATGAAACAAAAAATGCCTTGATCATGTTCAAGCTTTCATACAATCAACACAAACAAAAGTCTAAGTATACAAAAGAACAAGTATACAAAAGAATGAATGACATAAAAATTGTAAAAAGTCTAAGTATCATGAATATGCTAAAGTATAGAAAGCGATAAACACATATCTCGAACGTGTACAAAACTTTAACAAAATCATTACCATGCATTCGCAAGTCGAAACAATCAAATTTGACAAATCACCTTAATATTTTACAAGTTACCGGATCAAAACTTGAGTTCAAACAACAACAAAAGAATTAGAAAAATTATACTCCTACAAAATTTCAATGTAAAAAATTAAAAATATATACAACAAAAAAAACTCCTCAAGCTAAACACGACAATCTTTAGGAAAACAAAAATTGACATAACAAAATAAATACAAATAATGATATGAAAACCGGGTGAAAATGAATTAACAAGTTGAAAAATAAAGATTTGAAATTCAGTATATTTCCTTGTTTCAACTTGTTAAAGTATAAATCACCACACATATAAACAAATACAAACAAACATGCTTGTTTTACGTTGTAAGCTCGACGCCTTTATTGTGCGAGCTAGTAACCTCCTCCCATCATGCCATGTATTGTCACACGGCACAAACCTAAAGAAAGTATCCTAACAATCACACAACAAACGTTACAAAAAGGAGCCAATTCACAATAATACATAAAAACACATATATGTTCAAATATCATATACAAGTTAATGTACAATTTCTATACAACATATACATTAATTACAAAACTCAAAAACAAAAGAATTATCATAATGCGGAGACAATAAAACCAATCCCCGACAACAGTGTCATTTTGTTGGAAGCGGTATAGTGGCAAGCAACAAAAGTTTTGGAAATATTTATCTAGAAATTTATCGTGTCTATAGAGATTGGATATTGAATTACCGTTCGACAAATCTATTGTTAATGAGTTTGGGGATAAATGGGTTTGTAAAGAAAATGTTATCATTAGAAAATAAATGTAAACAAAAGTAAAAACTAAGGAAGAACTTATCAAGCCTGCATATAATCTACTCATCACAGACTTAAATCTATCGACCAATTACATTCAACTTAACAATACTCATCAATGTCACTATGTAT